CAAACTTCTCAATCCATTTCTGCAAGTATGAGTGCTCCTCCTGTTGGCACCCTGTGAACCATGTAGGGGCCTTGCCAGTTGGGTGAAAATTTCCCTTTGGCTTCATCCTAATGTGGGAAGATCCACTTCAGCACCAATTGCCCTGGTGCGAATTGTCTTGGTTTGACCCTTTTGTTGAAAACTCTGGACATTCTATTCTGATAAACCGTGACATACTGCATTCATTCTTTTTCCGTCTATGAGGGCTAATTGCTCATAGCGGCAACTTATCCATTCTGCATCATTGAGTCCGGCTTCTTGTATGATGCTTAGAGAAGGAATTTCTACCTCGACTGGAATGATAGCTTCGGTACCATAAACCAGTAAATATGGAGTTGCCCCAGTTGATGCGTGGACCTAAGTGCGGTATTCCAATAGGGAAAAGGGTAACTCCAAATGAAGACTTGGCCCTATCAAGCCTGCTTTCCTCGATAAAAGCCCACATAAGGGCCAAAGCACAACAAGCCTACTCATCATCAAAGCAAGTCCAAGCCCATGCAAAAATGACCTCATTGTTTCTCGTGCCATTGTTTGTGATTTTCTACCATCTTCCTTAGTATCTTCTTGATGTTCTTGTTGACAGCTTCCACAGCTCCATTCGTTTGAGGCCTGTATGCTGTAGAGTTTTTGTATTTGATTTTGAAGTTTTCACACATGGCTTTCATCAGATCACTGTTGAGATTGGTGGCATTATTAGTGATAATGGACTCGACAACCCCGAATCGACAAACAATATGATCCTTGACAAAATCTGCGATGACTTTTTTGGTTACAGCTTTGTAAGATGCAGCCTCTACCCATTTTATGAAATAGTCGATAGCTACTAAAATGAACTGATGCCCGTTAGAAGCGGTGGACTTTATTGGACCGATGACATCTATTCCCCAAGCAGCAAAAGGCCAAGGTGCACTTGTTGCATTGAGCTCGTTTGGTGGTACCTTTATCATGTCTTCATGTACCTGACATTGGTGGCATTTCTGGACGTACCAGATGCAATCTGTTTCCATGGTCATCTAAAAGTATCCATCTCTGAGTATCTTCTTGGCTAGAACAAAACCGTTCATATGTGGTCCACAAGTAGCCTCTTTTGCGTCAACATACCTTAACAACCCCAGATCAGAAGTTCTTCTATACAGGGTCCCTCCGCTTTGGAAGAAGTGACTGGAAAACCTTCGCAGTGTGCGTTTCTAAGTATGGTTTGCCTGTTCTGGATATTCTCCTTTCGCCAAATATTCTTTGATGTCGTGGAACCAAGGTTTTCCGTCTTGTTCTTCTTCAACATGAGCACACTAAGCCGGTTGATTATGGATCCTCACTGGTATGGGATCGATGAAATTCTTGTCTGGATTTTGTATCATTGATGACAAGGTGGCCAGTGCGTCTGCGAACTCATTTCGAATTCTGGGCACATGTTTGAATTCTACCTTTGTGAATCTCTTCATCAATTCCTGCACATGATACAAGTATGGTATTATCTTGGTGTTCTTCGTAGCTCATTATCCTTGAACCTGATGTACCAGAAGATCCGAATCGTCAATTACCAACAACTCTTGTACATTCATATCGATGGCCAAATTGAGCCCCATGATGCAAGCCTCATATTCTGCCATATTATTAGTGCACGAAAACCTAAGCTTTGCGCATACCGGGTAATATTGGCCTGAATCTGATACCAAATCTGCTCCAATGCCCACTCCTTTGAAGTTTGCATCCCCATCAAAGAACATTCTCCAATCTCCTATGAATGATAGTTCTTCAACGAGAAAATAAATTTTTAATGGTTCGTATTCTCCTCCCACAGGATTTTCTGCAAGATGGTCTACCGATGCTTGTCCTTTGACCACCTTCTGAGTTACATAGATGATATCGAACTCACTTAACAATATCTGCCACTTGGTTAACTTCCCGGTTGGCATGGGCTTCTGAAAGATGTACTTCAGAGGGTCCATCCTAGATATGAGGTATGTGGTATAGGCACAACAGTAATGCCTCAATTTCTGAGCTGTCTAGGTCAAAGCACAGCAAGTGCGTTCCAGCAGAGAGTATCGTGCTTCGTAAGGTGTGAACTTCTTACTCAAGTAGTATATGGCTTGCTCCTTTCTTCCTGTCTCGTCATGTTGCCCCAAAACACATCCGAAAGCTCTATCTAATACGGACAGATAGAGTAGCAAAGGTCTCCCAGACTCTGGCGTGACTAGGACTGGCGATGTAGACATGTATTCCTTGATTTTGTCAAAAGCCTTCTAACAATACTTGGTCCAATTAGTTTCGGCATCTTTCCTCAACATTTTGAAGATGGGTTCACATATTATCGTGGAATGTGCTATGAAGCGACTGATGTAGTTGAGGCATCCTATGAAACTTATCACGTCCTTTTTGCTCTTTGGTAGTGGTAATTCTTGGATAGACTTAACTTTGGACGGGTCCAACTCGATTCCTCGGCGACTGACGATGAATCCCAACAGTTTTCCTGCGGGAACCCCGAATGCCCATTTGCAAGGTTTAGTTTTAGATTGTACCTCCTTAGCCTGTCAAAGAACTTTCTCAAGTCTACTATGTGATCCGCGGCCTTCTTGGATTTTATGATGACGTCATCAACATACACCTTTATTTTCTTGTGTATCATATCATGGAAGATGGTTGTCATGGCTCTCATGTAAGTATCCCCAGCATTCTTTAAACCAAATGGCATCATCTTGTAGCAGTACACTCCCCACGTTGTAATGAAAGTTGTTTTCTATGCGTCTTCTTCATCCATCCAGAGCTGGTGGTAACCCGCGAAGTAATCTACAAAGGATTGGAGTTTATGCTTGGCGCAATTGTCGATCAGGATGTGTATATTTGGTAGTGGGAAATCGTCCTTGGAACTTGCTCTGTTCAAATCTTGATAGTCAACACACACCCTAACTTACCCATCTTTCTTCGGAATCGGTACAATATTGGCTAACCAGGTTGGGTACTCAACTACCCTGAGGACTTTGGCTTTGATCTACTTAGTGACTTCCTCCTTGATTTTAAGACTCATGTCTGATTTGAACTTTCTGAGTTTCTGCTTCACTGGCGGACACATTGGATTCGTAGGCAACTTATGAGCCACTATGGATATGCTCAGACCAGTCATGTCATCATATGACCATGCAAAGATATCCTCATATTCCATCAGGAAATGAATGTACTCTTCCTTCTTTAGCGGTGATAAGTTAATGCTTATGGAGTCTCCTTGACGGTTTTGGCGTCTCCCAAATTGATTGCTTCGATTTTGTCTAGGTTGGACTTAGGTTTGTTCTCAAAGTTCTCAACTTTCCTGACAACTTCCTCAGGTATTTCATCTTCTTCTTCTGAGTCACTATCCTTATATTGCGTTGTCTCATTACATTTCACAGTCATCGATTCATCAGAAAAAGTAATAATAACATTGTAGAAGAAAAATGTGAAAGATATATGAATACTAAATAGCAATGCGTTAATTAATTTTGAAAATATCCAAAACAGATACGGCTCGATGACTCGAGCAATTATTTTGAAACAAAATGCGTCTTTAAAACAAAACTACTGAAAATATCTGAAACGCCTAGCATGGCTATTAAAATAATACAGGCTAATTGCCAAGATACCCAGGAACTCGGCGGGCCCGGGATGGTGTGGCAGTCCAATTCTTGAGAACAACTTCCTTATCTACAGTCTGAATGGTGAGGCCTTCCTCCTCTTCCTCCTTAATTATCACATTTCAATCCATATTCTCGTCTTCCAGGAACAAGTTTCTCAACCCAGCCAAAGCTTCTTCCTCTGCAGATCCCCATATTGTATCGACCTGGTGAAAATTCTAACTTAGGTGTGGTACCGGCTGCTCGAGAGGGTAATAAGGACCACGCCATGGAGGCGACCAATCATCATATTCTTGCTAGGTGTATGGATAACCCAGCCCGAAAGTTGTGCCGTGACGTTTCAATGGTATCGGTTTGGTAATGCCCTGGAGTTCCTTCCCAAGCCCTTTGCCGGGTTCAAATCCAGACCATGCTAGTATGCTTTCTATTTTGTTACTCCCACTTGTCCTTCTCAATTGCGTTGACATATTCAATGTGGTGATAAGTTTCTCCACCCAGCCTTTTTCTATTCTCGATAACCGGGATAGTTTGATTGGTGTAAATGGGGTTACTTCCATCTCCGTGAATGATTACCTCCTCATGGTTCCATTCAAACTCCACGGCCTGGTGTAGCGTGGAAGCCACGGCTCCAGCGGCATGTATCCAAGGTCGACCCAATAGAAGATTGTATGTAGTTGATATGTCTAGTACTTGGAACTCAACATCGAACCAAGTTGGCCCCATCTGTAGACAAAGACTAATCTCCCCAATTGTGGCCCTTTGAGACCCATCAAATGCTTTCACGTTCATACTTCCTGCCCGTTTCTCATGGAAATCTTTGCCCAACCTTTTCAGAGTAGTCAATGGGCAAATGTTGAGGCTAGAACCCCGATCTATTAGGACCCTGGCAATGAATTTGTCTTCAAACTGTACCGTGATATGTAGTGCCCTGTTGTGACCTAACCCTTCAGGCAGTAGTTCATCCTCGTGGAAGGTGATCTTGTGACTCTCTAGTACTTGCCCTACCATGTTGGCCATCTTTCCACTGGTGATATTGTTGGGCACAAAAGCTTCATTCAACACCTTCATCAGAGCATTCTTATGCACCTCTGAATTTTGCAATAGTGACAGGATGGATATCTGGGCGGGGGTCTTGTTTAAATGATCGACAATAGAGTATTCCCTTGCCTGTACTTTCCTCCAAAGATCATCCGCTCCAGTTTCAATGACAAGTTGTTTGGTAGCAGCCTCCTTTCTTGATCCTCCTAAATTCTTGGATGTATAGATCCTTTCAGTTCTGGTCATTCCCTGTGCGGTACCAGATTCTTCCATCTTTGCTTTTCCTTTTCGCCTAGCTTCGACAACATAATACAAGGTATGGCGTTGGACTTGAAAGGAGGCATGGTTGATATTATCACTGTGAAAGGTGTGGCCACTTCTACCTCAAATGGAACAGGTGTGGCTGCAGGTGATGTTACTTCTACCTCAAATGGAACCGATGCGGTTATCTCAACCTCAACTGGGGGCTATACCTGGACCACAATAGCATTGAGCGTTACTGCGGCCTTCTTAGGATCATCTCCCTCTTTGATAAGTCCAATTAATCCCTCGGGATCCTACTCCTCGTCAGTTTCTATCACATTGATCCCTTCGCCCCTATGATCTGGAAGAGGATTGTTGCAGACGTTGGGTATATCTTCCTTCTCCTGTATAAGCTTGTTATCAATTAATGTCTGAATCTTATCCTTCATGTCCGACACTCGTCAATGGTGTGCCCCTTCATACCGGAATGATATGCACATGTTTTATTCGGGTTGACCCATTGAGATGAATTCTCCATTGTCACAGCGGGAATAAGGGTGACATAACCAGTAGCTTTCAATCTTTCGTACAACTGGTCGATGGGTTCAGCAATAGCGGTATATTGTTTGGGTGGTTTGCGACCAAAATTAGGTCGGGGTTTCTAGTAATTTGGACGAGCTGGAGGTGAATGATAGTAGGCTGGCTGGGTGTTATAAGTGTGATAGGCGGTGGCGGGTTGAGAGTATCTGGGAGGTGAAGGTTGGTATGTAGGTGGAGGTGTTTGGTATGTGAGTAGAGATTTTGGGCCTTGGGCCACCATTATTGCCCCTACTTCTTTCTTCTTTGATATGCCACCTGATTGCAATGCTTTGTTCGTGGCCTGCAATGCTTCAAAATTTGTCACTATCCCCCTTTTAATGCCCTCTTCAATCCTTTCTCCGAGTTTGATGATATCAAAGAACTTATGATTCTCAATAACCATTAGACTTTCATAATAATGTGGGTCCTGTGCCAGACAAAGAACTTTTTCATCTGTTCCTCATCTAATGCTGGTCTGACCTTGGCTGCTTCTGACCTCCATCGAGTAGCATACTCGAGGAAAGTCTCAGTTGGCCTCTTCTTTAGGTTCTGGATATAGAAGACATCTGGTGCATTCTCCGTATTGAACCTAAACCGGTCCATAAATTCTGATGCCATGCTCACCCAATTGGCCCATTTCTTAGGATTCCGGCTTATGTACCAGGACAGGGCATCTCCGGTAAGACTTCTCATGAAGAGCTTCATTCGAATCCTTTCATCTTTTCTGACCCCCACGAGCTTGTCATAATAAGTTCTCAAATGAACCTTGGGATCACCCATTCCATCAAACATTTCGAACTTGAGAGGTTTGTAACCCTCTGATAGTTCCACATCTGGTTGTATGCACAAATTCTCATAGTTCAGACCTTCTATCCCTTTACCTCCTTCAACACCCTGAACGTGACTTGTCAACTTCTTGAGCTCCTCGGCCATGTTCTTGATGAGTAGGTCCTTCTCAGCGGATTCTAGTGTATATGAGATTGATTGAGTAGAGTGAGGTAGGGTCTCTATGTATATGGGGTTGTTTTGGTGGGTGCTAAGGATTTGGGTGTAGTGGTGGTCGTTGGTCGAGTTTTGAGGATCGAAAATAGGTTGTGATGTATTCTGAGGAGTGTGATAGGTAGTGGTTTGTGGGTACTGTGTTGGTTGATGATGGTGTTGTGGAGGAGTTGGTACCGGTAGAGGATTAGGATTTTGAGGTGGTGTGGCATATTGATGGGGTACGGGAGGATTTTGTGGATGCTGGTTTGGCGTATTTTGAGGAGGTGCTGGGTTTTGAGCATTTTGTTGGTTAACGTCTGGGACGTTTAGAGTGAGGGAGAGGTTTACCAAGTTGCGAACCTGCTCAAGTTCTCCTTGTAACTCCAGTATTTTTTGCTCTAATCGTAGGACCAAATCATACTGGGCCAGAGTACTCTGACCATCTGAAGTTTCAATATTCTCAGCATTTTTTTCGGATACCACTCAAATCATCCATCTTAGCTTTTCCTCTACTTTTCAGATTACTCGGAGGAGGAGGTGTTGGAAGGCCTCTAGATCTGGTGCGATATGCTGATGATGCCAGTATGTGCGAACCAACCTTAGGGGATGAGAATATAAATAAAGAAAAACAAAAGGCAAACAAGTCAGTAATGATTCTGAAAGTGTTTGCAGTATTTAAACACATATTGTGGGAATGTAAATTCGTGTCCTAATTTGGGAGCCTCATTGTGCCCGAGGTAGGCCTAGCGACAAATAGATTTGGAGAATTTCAGTGCCAATAATTGCCTCATTTCATTAATGTAAAAATAGATGAACCTAAAATGACACTAAATAAGATAAATCACTAATGGCACTTGGCCTTATTACATTTGAAAAAGTAAATAAATCTAATCTACTTGGTCCCAGAAGGACCTTCTCCAGGCTGGATGTTTTTGGTTTCGTCAATCAAATTTCCCAGTTCGCGCAGGTTCAACAGTAGGTATGCCTTTGCTAAATATCCTCCTTCGCTTCCTTCAGTGTTCTGGCAATCAGAGACTCTCTTCCTTATTTTTCCCTCCAATTCCATCAGACTATACTCTAGATACTCCAGCCTTTCGCTTGATTTAACAGCCATCTCCCTCCATTCATTAATTAGTTCCATATCGGTCTTGTGTCGCTCCATGTGCTCGGCCTCGGACTCGTGAACTCTTACGCAGTTTGTTGTACTTCACTTGTACCTCGGCAACTTCATCTATGACTCTATTTCCTGGACCAACCCTTGGCTCGAATATTCCTGCTATGTTATCCTCTAAGCATTATGGGTAAAAGTACACATGACCAGCATGATATCGATCTGGCTTGATGGTATCCTTTTCCATGATAACTTTCAAATGCCACATATGCTGAGCTTCACATTTGTATGGGACGTCGTCATCCTGAAAATCTGCCTTGTAGTGACTCATTTTAGCAACTCGCAGTATGACCTACTTCCTGGCTGCCTGTCTCATAACTATGGTGGGAGCATAAGGGTATATGCCCCTCAACCCGATGAGTACCAAGTGTGGAACATCCCTAGATCTGATGATGAACTCATTGGCAGGGAACCACTCGAACATCCATTGAACCTGATCCTCAGTCAAATTGCTGAAAAACTGCGCCCATCCTACAACATTCTCGGGTTGAGCAAACCTGTCTAGGATATAGGTCATTCTCTTAGGATGATGGAAAGCTATGTGGTCATTCCACATCCTTTGTGGAAGCTCTTGATGGTATTGACCTTTTTGGAGATGCTCTAACAACCAAACTTGTAAAAGCAGATTACAACTTTCGAAGTATTTGTATCCCTTCTGACAGCGCTCTAAGGCTCGGTATATGTCTGCTATGATCATAGGGACAATGGTATATGTTTGCCCCTCGATCCTATCCATAAAGATTTTGGCTACCATGTCCAGTCTGGTGTGGATTCTATCCCCTTGGATCGGGAACACTAACATACCCAAGAAACAGACAATGAACACAAAAACCCTACGGTGGATCCAACCCAAGAAAGTGAGGGAGAATTCGTCATCGAATATACGATAAGATCTGCTATGACCATATCATTCATAGAGGAAGTCAAAGGGTATGTAGGAATTCTTCAGGCACTCCAAGTCATCATTCTTCTTTAATCCCATCATCTTCAGAAACCCATTAGTAGAGCGGTTTTCCGACACCAATAAACCAGGACTATCCCAAGGTAGCCCAGCGAATCCCCTTATTTCTTCCCAGAGAGGGTCATTTCTATGTTTCCAAAGCAAAACACAGCTCTTTCTTTGTCCCAGAACATTGTGTCAGCTTCGATTAACATGTTGTTCGGTTGGAGGTCTAATAAAGAAGGCAAATTTCCCAAGACCCATTTCACATGATTCTTATCACTTGATGGAAGATCCTCCCACCAATCTAGCAACAGTTGTGGTATGTTACGGACCATGCCGAACCTGGGGACTTCGTGCCTCATTTTCTGCAAAACAAATATGGTTAGGCTCTTTCCCCTTCCAGATCCGACTATTTATACAACAATGATTAGCATATTGGCACTTATTTCTCCAAAATTAATGCACACAATCGTGGTTGCGCCCGTTGGGATTATGGAAAACCTGATGGACTTTTGGACGAGGCTTGTCTTAAAGGGTTATTATGTAGACAGCATATTAACCCGGCTAGGTTTGACCATGATGCATGTATAATTAATCAAAGTAAGGTTTGTAGAGAGGTCTAGAGTGGTACCCTCAAGTGAACAACTTGAGGGGGAAAGGTACGGAACCATCAACTGCACCGCTGATCGACTAGTTTTACCACAAATACGCCTTTCCAAATTTAAAGGGTGATATATAGGAAGGACGCAAACACTCATCAAGTGTTACTATTGGATTGATTATGCACGAGTGGAATATGATGTTGAGCATGATTTATGCAACAATAAATAGCATGTTGTCACGTATTTTCACGTTAAAAATGATAAATGCAGTATTTAATAATTGAAAGACATTTAAGAAAGAAAACAAGGAGACAAGTCAGTTTCTGTAATAAGGGAAACCATAAATGCTTGAAAAATAGGCAATTAAATCCAAATAAGGGGGAAAGGGAAAGGGTGCACATGTATTAACGGAATAAAGCATGCTTAATACTAATTCACAAAAACAAGTTTGTTATGGTAAGAGCCTAAAAATATCCCCAGCAGAGTCGCCATGCTATCGCGCCCTCTTTTTCCTCGCGGAGTCCGGGTTTTGACATTTTGGGGACAACTCCTTTCCTTTTGGAAATTGGGTATGAGATTTGAAGAGTCGCCACCTAACATATTAAGCTGCGTTGGGGTACCTAGAACAATTAACTCATGAACTAGTTTACATTATCAGAGATTGGGTAAGGGCTCGAAATTACCTTGAGGGGAAAGTGTTAGGCACACCTCGATGTCCACAATGGTGGGTCCCGGACAAACTTAGTTTAAGCGAATTGGTCTTATAAAAAGATAAACAAACAGATATTACTTTTAAAAACAAGAAGTAAAGGAGGTCCTAGGTTTTTTAGCCTATAGGATCACTTCTGCGCAATACTTGGTAATCGTCCCCAAATTGGGGTGCTACATATAGCATTAGCGCACAAGTCATCATTTCCTTTTAATACCCAATCACCCTCCCTTTAATTATTACCTTAGCGTTCTAACAGCATCGAATATGTATCATATGTGTGCACTACTCATCCCTTACCTGTGGCCCTAGAGGTGTTTAGGACCTCTATTTAAGGT